CACTGCTCTCTGGTGTCTCCTTTGTTATATTAGATCAAGTGTCCATATGGCACGGTCCTCTTTCTAGACTCCATGCAGTTCCAGTGGAACACCTTTAATTACTAAGTAATTTGTACACATCACTCTTCTCTGTCACCAAAATCATTACCACCACCATCATCACTGTCATCATCATCACCATCACTACCATCACCACCTTCATCACCACCATCACCACCATCACCGTCATCACCACCACCATCACCACCATCATTGCCTCAATAATTCACAGCTGTTGGTGTGATCACTACGCCCCAGTGGTGTCACGTGCATTTAACCACCTCTACGATGACATCGGTGTCACTGTAACCCTTACTTTACTGAGGAGGAAACTGAGGGTCCAACAGGGCGAACAGTTCCCACCACCACGTGGCTAGTAATCGGCAAACAAGGACGTGTCCCCTTTGTGTGGGCACCCATGTCATCTGGGACTTTCCATTTCGTCCATAGTCCCTCCCTCAGCTACCGCCTGCCCCGCAGTCACCCGGCCTCTCTGGTGGAGAAGAGGCCTTTTCTGGTGGTGGGACAGACAGACCTGCCCTGAGTTTACTCTACTTTACGAGCAGATAAATAAGTTTAATCTCAAATAAGTTGGAACTTGTTCAACTTTTGAAAGGCCAAGACTGGCACTTTGGGGATCCCCGGTGTTTACACTGGGGAGAAAATTCACGATCCAGGCAGGGCTAATCACAGGTGGAGTTGTCTAAAGGTCTTGGAGGAAACCCCCCTAGGGGCTCCCACTGAGCTCCCCTTTATCCTGACACCCCAGATCCTCCTCCATGCAGCATGGAGGTTCCTGGGAGGTTAAACCCAGCACTGAAAGCAGAGGTCGGTGTCCCTGGTGCCAGGGACCCTGTCGCATTAGCACAACTCACAACTGACCTATCCAGTTGCCTGGAGATGCAACGTGGTCCGTTTACGAGGTGAGCACCCTACAGAGAAATTCTAGTTGGGGGCAGCTGGCTCTGGATGCCTTGGCCGCTCAGTGCTGGCAGGTTGAAGGCACAGTGGGTAGTGCAGCCGAGGGGGGCAGAGTGACGGGAGGGACACTGGTGGGCAAGGAGGCCTTCACCTTCTCTGGCCCCAGGACACTGCAGATGGCGGATGCGGGCCTGTTGCTATTCCTGCTGCGCTCCCCTTCTCGTCCGAAGCCGGCAGTTGGGGGGTGCTAACTGCATTCAGGTGATGCTTCCGGAGGTCATTTCACACGCTGCCTCCGTGCTGATGAGGCACCATTAATGTGGGGACACTTTTACACCATTGCACTGTGACAGCTTAGCAACCTGGCTAATTAATAAGGGAAAAAAAGAGAGAGTTAAGGGCTGATTTAAAGAGACATTGCAATGAAAAAAAAAAGTGCAAATGTTTTCATACAAGGAGAGGGTTTGGGATTCTTTGTATGTCAATGGATTTAAGGGTATAATCTTGTTGATGCTCATATATAAAAGCTTGTATATTTTTCTTATAAATTAGTATTAATTTTTCTTATAAATTATATTCATATAAAAGACACATGCATAATGAGAGGTGCATAGGTTTGAAATATGATAGGTTCAAGTTTAAAGCTAGACTGTTCTTACTAAGAAGTCGTCCAGTCCCAAGAATCCCACGTGCCTCACCTGTGACATGGGGCCGATGCCCCCAACACTGCAGTCATTCTGATTGGAGGCCACTGCGTGGGACACACCCAGTGCTGTGCTGGCCCCACAGTAGGTACTTTGTACGTGGTGCACAGGAAGTAGTAGGTGCGAGAACTTTCCAGGCTGGAGAAGCATCCTTGAGGTGGACTCTGGGAACCAGAGTTCTTCAGTCATGAAAGTCATACACCTTCCTGTGCAAGGACGCGGCTGAACTGGCATCCAGGAGCCTGCTGGGTCCAGGTGGAGGGGTGCTGTCCGGTGCGGGCTCGCCTGGGCAGCCCAGGGTCAGCAGTGCTGGGCCACCCGGGAACGAGGCTGTCAAGTCCAGAATGTTCCGTCTCTGCCCGTTTTGAACAGGGAAGTGACGTGAAAGATGGAAACTCAGTGGTCAATGTGGTCCAGTCCCTCAAACCGTGTGATACGGGCAGGCTCTTGGGAGCCACCGATGACTAATACGTGGCCGTGCCCCCAGGGGAGGTGGGGAGAAATGGAAGTGGCACGATCCCGAGGTTGCCGCAGGAAGTAAGGTGTACAGAAGTACAAACCCCAACTGGTTAAGTGTCCGTGAAGAGGGGAATCAGGAACCCCACAGGAATATAAGGCATTACAGTGCACGGGGGTTCAATCACCAGCACCCCTGTTGTCACTGCCTCAGTTCAGACCGAGGAGTGCGATAGGGAAGGGTGTTCCTCCACGTGGAAGGGCAGACACGTGGGGCCCAGGCAGCACGTTTCCTTGGACGAGGGGCCTCCCCAGGAAGGCCCAGACTCGAGCTGTGGCTGCTCCCTTGGCAGGCGGGGCTCCAGCGGGGAGACTCGGAGTCTGGGCCTTGACGGCGACCTGCTGCCGCCCCTTCCAGCTCCCCGTTCACATGCACCTCAGTGAGCTGCGGGCTCACCCAATCAGGTTCCCCACTCAGGAAGGTCCCAGCGAGGTGGCAGCGACCCAGAAGTTTCTGTGTCACCTTTCACATTCAGATCTGAAAACGACCTTTCCTATGTTGAGTCTTGTGCGAGGTAAGGTTCGGTCTCCTTTTCTTCCCCCCACTGGGCCTGCATCCCGCCTGGGCCCCAGCACTGCCACGCAGCTCCCACGCGGCCCCAAGAGGGCTCCCCTGGGACCCAGCACGTCCCCAGCCGCAGTTCAGAGGGTCACACAACCGTCAGGAAAGGTGACAAGTTCAGTGTAGTGGGCAGGCTGCGTGCCCAGGGGGATGTGGTGGGTGACACGCCCTCACAACAGGTTGGGGCCCAGATCTTGTCCTTTAGGCAGCAGGCAAAGGGGCATGCATATCGGGGTGGGGGGAGGGCTGGAGCAGAAGCCACGGGTGGAGCGTGTGGGTGTCCAGGGAGGGGGCACCGAGGGGCTCACGCGGCCATCACACTGTGCTGGCCACAGGGAGCGGTCATTCAGCAGAAAGAGGACAGGAACCTGGAGACGGACTCTTGGGAGAGAATCTGTCCTGACACACAGTGTGGCTCCTTGCACCTAGTAGGTGCTCTGTACCAGTTTGCTGAGTGATGGAGCCACCAGCAGGGCCAGCCGGAGCTTGTCTCTAACACCCCGTCAGGGAGACCCCAGACTACGCAGAAGCAGCAAAACTTGGGGACCAGATGTCCTAGAGACAGCAAGTCTCAGCGGAGGTCTGGTACGAGAGTGACAGACACACTGTTCTGCTGTGTGTCAGCTGAAGACGAGGCAGCACTTTCCACCCAACGTGTCGGGCAAGCTGAGACAGACTGTCCCCGCTGACAGACACACTGCCTGCTGCGGGAGCCCCTATGGAGGTCACATGGAGGGCAGGCCCGCAGTAAGTGGGGAAGGAGGGCGTGTCCTCTCATTGCTGTCGCCGGCTTCCTAGTGACATTCCCTGACCACTCGGATGCAGAGGCTCCCCCTGCAAGGCTCCCTGTGGTAGCCAGGAGCACAACGCGGAGATGTGAGTGGCTGTGCTGGGGACATGGGGATGTGATGGGCCATCCTGCTGCTCAAGAAAAGCCTGAAAACCAGGAGGAAAAAAAAAGCCCGGATAGAGAGTATCTGGGCATTGGGAACAGGGACTAGGTGGACAGAAGGCCTCTCCTGCCCTCGTGGGGCTGACTTGGGCGGGGGGAACTCGGGGGTATAGGCAAGGAGCCTTCTGGAAACAAGGAATAAGCAGGGGCAGAGTGGGGAGGGGATGCAGGGGACCCAGGCCCATGGGTTCCTGTTGGTATAAACTGCAGGTCAAAGGTTCACCTTGCAGCTGTGGTCTGAACACCACAGAGCTGGGCTCCCTCACTGCCTCTTCCCGTTCTTTTGTGTTTTAAAGGGGTAGGGCCTGAAATTCTGCATTTCTTTCTTTCTTTTTTTAATCCTCATCTAAGGACCTTTGTTGATGCCTTTTAGAGAGAAAGAGGAAGGGAGAGAGAGAAACATCAATGTGAGAAAGAAGATTCCACTGGTCGCCTTCCATACGTGCCCGGACCTAGGACAGCACTCACTCTGACCAGGACTCAAACCCCCAACCTGTGCTTATGGGATGGTGCTCCAACCAACCGAGCCGCACTGGCCAAGGCCACCTTTGCCCTTTCTTAACCTCGAGTGAACCCTCCCTGCCCCTGGATTAAGGTTCAGGCAGGTGCTAGGACATTCAGGTGTGACTCCTGCAGAGGAGGAGTACTGGTCACCCGAGGATGGATAAGGTGACACCCAGGACTCTGTGAAACCTTTGTGAGGAGCGGACAGTGTCTTAGTCTGCTGAGGCTGCCTTCACAAAACAGGCAGCCTGGGTGACTCAAATGACAAACACGTGCGTCTCACAGTTCTGGTGGCTGTGTCTGAAGTCTACAGTCAAGGAGCTGGCTAACTGGGTTCCCGGTGACAGCCTTCTTCCTGCCTCACAGATGGCCTCCTGCTCAGAGTCCTCTCGTGGATGGGAGCAGAGGGAGGGAGGGAGGGAGAGAGGGAGGGAGAAAGGAAGATTGCGAGCAGGGAGCTGTGGTCTCTTTCTCTCTTCCTCTGAGGGCACTAATCCCAGTTTGGGGGCCCATCCCGGTGACCTCATCTTAACCTGATCACCTCCCGAAGTCCCCACCTCCAAATGCCACCACATTTGGAGTTAGGGCTTCAACACTCGAACTGGGAGGGGCACACACATTCAGTCCATAACAGCATGTTTTTTGGTCATTTAAGAGATATCTGCATTAGGTTAGTTCTATGATTTACTGGACACGTTCACTAGCCAACACTTTATCCAGACAACTAATGAGTTATGGACTATTTAAGGTACACCATTTAATTTCAAACTAGGTTAAGCATATTAGTGTAGAAAGTAGGAGCTAAAACACTGGGGTATCAACATTGATAAATGACTCTGTGTTTACCCCATAAATGATGTGTGTACACTCTCTGTACTGAGCAGAATGGGCCCAGGGTCATGGTCAGTGTGGCCTGATGTGTCAAATCAACGGAGGCACTTCAGGGTTATCTTCAAAGTCTGGGTCTTCCTCACTTGGTAATACTTCAGGTTCGGGTCGGACTCTTCTGGGCCTGTGTTTTTCCCCTTGAACTATGTTAGCCACATCGGGGAAGGAGTGCTTGCTGGGGTCCACTTCTAGTTTCTCAGTTTGCTTGCTTCTATAATGACAAAAAAGCCAATGGAAATTGATAGATCATTTACAATTTAATTTCAAACAGATACAGCTCCCTCATTCATTTATTTAGCAAATACTGGCCAGTGTTCTATCCCTGGAGCATAGAGACAAAAAATAAAATAAAATAAGAGATTGTGCTGGTTTTAAGTAGCTTAGAGCCTACTTAGGAGCAAGAGTGTTGCCTTGGAGTAACAGCACGGTCAAAAGTGCCGCCGGGCTTGCCAATGCCCAGGCAGCTGGTGGAGAGGTCAGCAGGTCAGAGCTCTGCTCACCCAAGTCAAAGCCCACAGCCAGGACCACGGTGGAGTCACCCCAGGTGGGTCTCACTCCTGGGTGTGGCCAGTAAGGCTCAGGGACCCTGCTGCGTCAGACGACCCAGCCCAGAAGCCTGCTCCTGCGCCTGCACCCAGTCCACTCAGCAACGCTCAGAATGGAACCCACGAGAGAGAAGGCCACTGGCCAGTGGCGCCTGTCATCATCGTCATAGAATCTCGAGATACTACAGGTCACAGGGCTGCTTTTCTGGAGATTTCGACTCCAAAGGCCTGGAGTTGGGCCAGTAGTTGGTATTTACATAAAGTTTCCCCTGGGGAACTTTAGCTGATCAGTTACATTCTTCTGGAATCACTTCGCCACTCAGTCAGTTATTCAACAGACGTATATTAAGCGCCTACTATGTTCTAGACTCCAGAAGTCCAACGGCCAGAGCAGACAGGCAAGTCCCCTGGTAACTGACCACACTGCCGTGTGACTGTCCCGTGATCAGTCTGTGTGTCCACTAGACTGACATCTTGGAGGCAGAAACTGTGTCTTTTTCAACTTGTATCTTTGGCATACAGTTTTACTGAATAAATGCTTGTTGAATAAATTTTAAAAATCATGATTGCCTAACCTCTGTGTGGTACACTTGAAACTAATACAAAACAATATTGGATGTAAACTGCAATTGAAAAATAAGCACTTTTAAGAAGAAAAACGTCAGTGTATGGGAAAACGAAATTAGATAAGAAATTATCTGTAATCTAGAGGAAATCACAGTCTAATGCGGGCGCGCTGACACCCATTTCCTGCAGGGGGCACAGTTTGTTGGGGGAGTTGGGGGCCGGAGGTCGTCTCCCTTGTCTTTGGAAAGTGTGAGTTCTGGACTGTTCTTGAAGCCCCTCCCCTCAGTTCTGTAATCTGCTCAGCCCACGAAGGCATTTGAGTGTCTGATTCCTCTCAGTATTTTGACCAGTGCATACAAACCCGCTGCATAAAAATACAAAGAACACAAACGGTACAAAACTGCATATTCTGAAGGCCCACACTGTACTCCACAGATTTTGCAGGAAGTTACAGTTTTCAAAGACCTACATCACAGCCATCATTAGTTCTACTTTTTAATTACTATATTCTTATTTAAAAGGCTATGATATCGGTGGACTAAGTAAGTAAATATCCACATTCATCTGTTATAATGATGTTGTCCTTGACTTTGAGGGAGAGCAGCCTATCGTACTGCCAGCCTGTCTCCAGGGCCACAACGTCCGGATCTCGGCAATACTGAGTGAGCTTGGCTGGCCCACAGTTATCCATGCTCACCTACTTGGAGGGGGGAGGAGGGGCAACAGGCAAGCAGGACTTTAATTACCCCCGAAGCTCTGGGTAATAAATAGCAGGCGGCCAGGCCTGGGGCGCTGGAGGATGCACTAACCCCCCAAACAAAGAGGAGAGGGCTTTTCTCCCTGCTGCTTCCTGTCTCTTGACTGGTGCACCAGCTCCCAGTGCCCACAGCGTCATGGATGAGACATGAGACAAATTCACATGGACTACTGAGTCCTGTGGAGGAAAAGGGACCGCATGGCTACTCCCTCAAGGGGGGTGCCCTGACCCTTGCCTAGATGGGCTTTTATTGGGTTTAATTTCTGCAGAAGTACAGGTACAGCTCATTAATCACTGTCAGGTAGTAAGGATCAAACAGTAGATGGCATACAAAGAACTATTAGGGCTTCTTCTGAGCCAGGGTCTATCAGCTAAAAGGCTACAAAACTTTGGAAAACAAACTCATTTCCTGCTGGGACCTTTATCATTTAACTAAGAGCGTTCTTAGCAAAGCAGCTGCGCAGGATTTCAGTCGGAGGAGGCAGATAGCCAAGGAATTTTTGGAGACTTCTCTCAGACTCAGGGGAGTCAGGCTATGTCAAAGCCGAGGGGTGAGGGTCCATCACCCCCTTTCTCCGTAGCCCCCCAAGTCCTTCCCTGGGGCCTCCACGTGATCATGCCTGTCTTCGGTCGCTCCCCCCTTGGGGAATCTTACCTGTCATTGGCTAACTGATCAAGCACTGGGGGCCAGTTATGAAAAAAGTAGCAAAAGCAGCACTTCTGTCAGGAGATAAGCTTTGTCTCTTTAGTGGCTTATGGTCTGAAGGTCGCTCACTCAACCTTAGCCATGGGAGGGTTACAGCTCCTGAAACCAGGCAGGGCAGTTCCCAACAGTCTCTGAGTCACAGCCCTGAGGACAGAGGCCCATGGAGGTGACCCACCACCTGGCTGCCAGGACCAGACCTGCTAGAGTCTAGTAAGAGTGACTGGAACACAAAATGAACATATTTATTAACAAAAAAGGAAGCAAAAAAAAAAAGTATTCCTAGGTGACACATCAAAGATGGACTCCCTGTATTAAAGGACAATAGAACTTTCTTCCAGTAGTGTGGTGGGCCGGCATAGCTGGGCCAAAGACTCCCGTTTCCAGTGGAAATGTCCTTGAGATCATTGAGAATCTGACAAAAATAACAAGGAACTACCAGAGGTCAGAGTTTAGTGAAGGGAGAAACCCAGAGAGGGACATGGGTGCTGATGCCACCTTTGCAGAGGGCGTTTCTACCACATGGAGTCTGGGGACAGAGGTCAAGGCCCTCTCCCCAGTTAGGGTGGGTCCCCAAGGGCTTCTCTCTCGCATAAGAGTGAATAAAATGTATGCCTCCCACCTCCCCGAGGGGCCGAGAGGAGAGTGGTCGAGAGGACAGGGGCAGCTGAGTGGTCACCACAAGCTGATGCCTCCTGGAGTTTATGGCAGCTGGTGGTCAAGACCCTCAGGCCTGAATGTAGAGGGAAGTGGCTCCAAACCGGCCCCGGCAGGGTCTGCCCAAAGCACATGGCTGAGTATTCCTAGGTGACACATCAAAGATGTGTCTCTGGCCTCTGAGGAGCCCCCAAGCTTTTTCTAAGCAATGGAGCAGCTCACAGAATAAAGTGATTGTTAAGTTTACAGGGAGGGCAAAAGACGCAGACCAGCCAGCACGACACTGGAGAAGAACAGATTTGGAGGACTGATGATTCATAATTTAAAAACTTATTACAACCAGGTCGGTGAGTGGCACTGGCAAAAGAACAACGACAACAAAAATAGATAAATGGAACAGAATAGAGAGCCCCACACCGACCTCCATAAATACAGTCAGCTGACCTTTGGGCAAAGAGCAAGGGCAGTACCACGGAGCAAGGGCAGTGTCTCCCACAAATGGTGGTGGGACGGCTGGACACCTGCACGCAAAAGCAACAGACGAACAGAAAAGAACCTGGGCACAGATCTCCCAGCCTTCCCAGGAACTAACTCAAAATTGATCACTGACCTAAACGTAAAATGCAAAACTGTAAAACTCCTAGAAGATAACACAGGAGAAAACTAGAAAACCTCGGTACGGTGATGACTTTTAGGTGAACACCAAAGTCGTGAGCCATGAAAGAAATCGCTGATGGGCTGGACTTCATTCACATGAAAAACTGCTGCTCTGTGAAAGATCATTTCAGGAGGGAAAAGGACAAAATAAGCCACAGGCTGGGAGGAAATATTTGCAAAAGACATCTGATAAAAGACTGTTAGCCGAAACATACAGAGAACTCATAAAACTGAACAATAAGAAAACACACAACATGATTGAAAGATAGGCTGCAGGACTTCACAGAACCCTCCCAGGGTGGATGTGCTGCTGGTAATAAACGCAGGAAAGGATGCTCTGTACCATACCGCACGTCATCAGGGAAATGCAAATTGAAACAAGGACTTATCACTGCACACCTAGCAGAACGGCCAAAACCCCAAACACCGGCCACACCAAATGCCGGCGCGGACAGGGAGAAACGGGAGCACTTGCCCACTGCGTGTGGGGAAGCACAGTGGCGCGGCTGCTCTGGAAGACAGACTGGCTCTTTCTTACAAAACTACACACACGATCAAGCAATCACAATCCTTGGTATTTACCCGAAGGAGTTGAGAACTTATAACCACACGATGTTTATAGCGGCGTTATTCATAACTGCCAAAAACCGGAACAACCAAGATGTCCTCCAGTAGGTAAATGAATAAATAAACTGCGGTCCATACAGACAATGGAATACTATTTAGCACTAAAAAAATGCATGATCGAATCCTGAAAAGATGTGGAGGAACCTTGAATGCCTATCACTAAGGGAATAAATCAATCTGAAAAGGCTACATACTGTGTGATACCAGCTACACAACATTTTGGAGAAGGCAAAACTCGAGACAGCAAAAAGTTCACCAGCTGCCCGGGGCTGGAGGGGAGGAGGTTAAGTAGGCAGAGCACGGAGGAGGCTGAGGGCAGTGCAGCTGCTCTGTAGGACCGGTGTCATGGTGGCTACATGTCACCACGCATTTGCACAAATCCACAGAGTGAACAACACTACGCCTGATGTCGTCCAATGGAAACAAGGAACTCTGGGTGACAATGATGTGTCAGTGTGCGTTCACCGACTGTAACAAACGCACCACTCAGGTGGGGGACACGTTAATGATAATGGGGCATCTGCGCGTGAGTGGGCAGTAGGCGCGTGAAAAACCTCTGTGCTCTCTGCTCAGTTCTGCAGGAAACCTGAGACTGCTCCTGAGAAGGAAGGATATATTTTTTAAAAGACACCATGAAGAGAGGAAGGAGGCCAGCCCGAGAATGCTCCAAGATTTATGATCCTGGTTCTGCCACTCTCTTAGCCCCCTTGTGATCTTGGGCGAATTATTCAGTCTCTTTGAACCTCAGTATGTTAGGAATAAGGGGATTTAGCCCGTCGTCATTTTGGACGTCAAAGATAATACAATGCAGAGCATCACACAGCACAGGGTGGACACGCAATACTCAAGGAACCCATGTGTGCGGGAGCTGTGTGTCCTCCTTCGCTGTACAGGATCGCAGGACCACAAGGGCTCACTGAACCAGTCACCTCCCCCCAGAGCACAAGCCCATCCAGTCTGGGTGAACCAAACCCCACTCCATCTGTTCCTCTGTCTCCCCCAGCCCTGTCTGCACAGCACGAGGAAAGGACCACACTGGCTGGGGGAGGCCCCAGAGCCCTCCATGGTCCTGGGGTGTCAGCAGCTCTTTGTCCCCTCAAACCACGCGCCAGCCCACTCAGTTCTGTGCACGGCCTTTGCGGTCAGCTCTCTGGTTAATGGGCTTATGCGGCCGGAGGCCGAGTTGATGTGTATCAGGAAATCTGCCATGATTCAGGAGGACCTCACACAGACATACAGGGTGGGCCAAAGCACTGTGCGTTTACAGGCGTGAGTACATGAAACAGAGTTTTTTCCTGTATTACTCTTTCTTTATCATTGTATTACTTCCCATACGTACAACTGTGAACCTACTTTGCCCTGCCCTGCATTATGTACGCTTGCGAAGTGATCATTTCTTATTAACACAGATGAAAAAAGAAACGCTCTTCAAAAATAACACAGGAGGTGCTACCGGGGAGTATGGTGCGCAGACATCCATAGTCACCACGTGTAACCCCAGCGAGGACGGTCTTCCTGGGCCTGAGAACCGGCTCCAGGCGGCCTGCAGTGACCGGGCTTCCCACGGGGGCACGGTTGCTCACAAATGGGACTCACATCTTTCACCTGCATGGATGCTGCTGGAGGTTAATTATGACCTTGACTATTCACCGCAGTCCTAATACTCTTGAATCTCTGTAAATCACACATGTATCTGAAATGGAAATCGCTAAGCTGGGAAATACGGGTGGATTTCCAAGGTTAAAAACAGCTCCCTACTTTTCAATAGGAATTCAGTTCCATACCTGTTCAAACAAACCCCATGGAGCTCCGACAGTTGTCTTTGAATATACAAGCGCCTATATATGGATCATGCTTGGATCCATGTGAGACATAAATACAGCTCCTGTTCAGGTATTTTTATAATGATAATTCTGGCCTGTGCATTTGTACCACAAAGATAGTTTGTACCAGTTCAAAATAGATGCTGCCATCTGGACATAAGGTCTGGAAATCATGACAAATGGAGGGGAAGTTGGAAGAACTGGGACGTTCATTGTAAGGAAAGACTGAGAAATGATGGGAGCTTCGTCCGAAATACTTCACAGGGTATCCCTGCCAATGGGGGTGGGCTTTGTCCCGAGGGTCTCCGGCAGCAGAGCCGGAACCTTCGGTCAGGAATCGGACAGCCCTCCTACCACCAGGAAAGGCTCAGAAGCGGGTAAATATTCTCTCAAGAGGCTGAAGGTCCTGATGGGAAAGACGCTTAAGCAGAGGCTGGAAGATGACCTGTGACTAGGAGGTTGGCAGGGGACACATGAGGGGCCCCTGGGCACCTTGCAGCCTTGAGAGATCTGGAGCCCGTGCAGTGGCACGTGGGTGGCAGAAGGCACGCAGTGCGAGCAGCGTTAGGAGCAGGGCTCAGCACTTGCCCGGATGTGCTGTGGCTACATGACCTTGAAACATTCCAAGCGTCCCTCTCCCTCTTTCTCCCTCTGTAAACGGAGGCTGCACGCTGTGCACCGGCTGTACCCTGGGGGCAAAGCCAGGGCACCAGAAGCAGCGGCAGTCACTGGTGTGGACGTCACCGCCCCGACTATCACGAGAAACTGGGGCCTCTGTGTACACGGGTTTGTTTTTAGGGATCAAGAGCCTCCCAAGTCAGAAATCTACATTTTGGGGACTACCATTCATGGCAGGAATCATTTTTAAACTTTAAGTAATTGTGTCTTTTGGGAGGTGGCCGCCGAGGACACTGAAGAGAACACTGTAATAAAGCCAGGAGGCCGTACCTGTCCTGCGTGTGCTCTCGGCCCCTGCCCGAGGTACTCTTCACGGACCTGGACGCTCGCTGGCCACCAGCGATGACGTCTCCGACCTAAAAGGAAAACATAGCGCATGCTCAGTGGCTCTCTGCTACGTCTTTAAAAACATTATATATGTATGCATTTTTAAGATGCTAAACTCTCGATGTTCACTACATAATTCATGACAGAGTCTAACTTGAAGCCTCTATGGAGCATGGAAGGTTATATCACAATATCTGTTCTCAACAGTCTCGCAAAGCCACAGGCTATATTGCATTTGCCAGAGGGCAAGCAGGAGGATGTGGTGAATTAATTAACTTAACAATGAACTTTCAGAAAACCAGCAACACGCCAGACAGAGCTGGGGACACGACGGGACTGACACACTGCCTTGGAGCATCTCGCTGTGAGTGCGCCACAGGCGACAGCACTCTGGGCGGGGGGCTCGGACCCCGTCTTCCAAGCCCATCAGACTCTGGTCTCTTCCTCCGTAAAATGAAAGAATGAGAGTGGTCTCAAAGGTCCCTCCTGGGTCTGAAAAATCCTATAATTTTACTACTTCTTTTAAGCTGAGTAACCTCAGGGCTAAGTATGTGAGGTCCCAATAAACAATCGGATTCAATTCAACAAACATCCAGGAGAAACCCTCCAGGGCAGCACCTGCCCTGGGGAAGCTCACAGATGGGAGGGGCTGGGGAGAGAAGGGAACACGTGAGTACTTAATTTACTGGCCACATCTCACTGGTGGTGGCCAGGGTCACTCCTCTGGCAGGTGAGGGACACCAGCCCCCCCTTCTCTGCTCTGCCTGAGACTTGCATAGTGGCGGTCACATTGGTGCAACCGATGAAGGAGAAAGACCAGGCCTGGACACCTAAGGCCCAGCCTGGACCCCCGCTCCCGTCTGCAGGCCCGGGCAGGCAAGCTGGACCCAGCATCTGAGTTTGGGAAGGAAGTTCGGAGCCCCTGTTTAGCCTGCAGTCGATAGTGGATTCTCCCATCCGACGTTCCCTAGGCCTTCACATTGAGATGCTGGACTCACTCACATTAGCATTTCCCGCTGGACTAGCAATTCTCGGGGGTGTGCTCCGTGGGCCAGAACCCCCGAAATCCCAGCCCGTGCTTAGCACACGTATGGTGAGTGCTCTTACGTATAACCACCCCTGGACAGCAATCTTTCCATGAAATAGCACAAGGACCAGTTTGTTTGTTTAAGCTGGTGCAGTTGTGTATTTTTCTATCATGTTTTTATAAAAATCCAGCCCGTGTGTGTCTGTGTGGCTTGCTTCCGCGCCCTTACGCAGAAGAACATGGACGTAAGTTTCCCTTTCCCTCCCCACGGGCCCCACAGGAGGGCCCACGTGCAAAGCGGAAGAAAAGATCTGCTTACACACCAGCGGCCCGACGTGTGTCCCGAGCAGCCGGCAGAGGAAATACCTTTAAGCATCACAGATGCTTTGTGCGATGGCCAGACTTTTGCTGAGACTCCAGAAGAAAAACAAAAACTACGCATATTGCATGTGCTAACGGCATTAAACTGGAAGCCTGGAAGAGTTTGTTCAGAAATGTTTTTTAAAGCGGTACAGCCTGCAGAGCAAACACTCGCGGCAGAACAGGGTGGCAGAACCAGCAGCCGAAGCCGCCGCTGCTGCGCTGACTGACGAATGAATGGCAGTGACTCACGGAGAGTCTCGCCCTACAGCGCAGGTTCCCATCACCATCAAATGCAGTTTATCTGCGGGAAGGCTGATTCCAAAATGTTGCGGTTGTTCCGCTTTAAAATAGACTTCATGCCACAACTGGACTGCTTTCCGTGAATTTCCTGCTGGCCAACGATGTTATAAATTTGGATGTTACTGTTGCAAGGTGTGAATGTTTATGAACTTAAACTGGTTTTCTTCCTTTTCTCTAACGGAACCGGCGCGATGAATACAGATATTTCCCCCACTTCTCTGGCCTCGTCTGAGGGAAACAGAAGTACTTTTCAGTTGCTATTGATCCCAGCTCTGGTTTACTAAAGCCACGTCACTGTCCACTGTGAAAGAAAGACGGGACCCAGGGGATGAAACGGAGCTGCCTCCCAGTTGGGGGCAGCAGAGAAGGGTGCACCAGGGTTGCGAGGCTCGGCCCCTTCCTCCTGCAGCATTTGGGGAGGTGGCAGCACCTGGGAGAGACAGGCTGCTTGGTAAGCAGGCAGCAAGGCCCCGTAGAACTTTCCGCACTGATGGAGACGTTCTGTGCCATCCACCAAGGCTGCTGAGCATTTGGAATGTGGTTAGTGCAGTGGAGACACTGACATTGTAACTGTAAGTAATTTCGGTTTGTATCAACCACGCCAGAGAGTTGGGAATGTGACCGGGCTGAGCCCGGGCCCAGGTGTGGGCTGCGTGATTCCCCGTGGGGAAGAAGCACTGTCACCCGTACCGGACATCCCTAATTCATCATGGTCCTCGACTGCGTGGCTGGTGCACTTCTGGAACTCCCTGCTCTGTCTTCCACCTGCCTGGGGCCTGGAAGTCTGTGCAGGTGCGGGAACCCTGAGCCGAGGTGTTCGAGTCTCTCTGTGCGATGTGGGGTCTGAGGCCGCCTGCCCGCTTTGCCCGGCAGGACAACTCCAAGCACGGTGTCAGCCCAGAGCTTCTGGAGGCACTGGCTGAGGTGGGTGCTGGGCCCAGGTCACAGCCAGTCCCTGGTTCCTTCCTGCCCTGCCGCAGATGCCGTGGGGAGGCCACAACCCACCACACATCCTGCATGCATCTCAGGATCGGCCTCCTGGGGGGAGGGGCAACTTAGCACCTCCTTTTACTTTTTAATATTTTAATTACACTACTGAAGCCAATACAGGTGAAAATTCATTAAATTATCAACTTCAAGAAAAAAGCCCCTGAGCCCCAAATACAAGTTTTGTGTTGTTTCATGTTGCAGACGCACTAACAAGAATGGGAGCAGAGCCGTAATTAGTCTCAAAACACCCGCTTCTAACACTGTTATTTGTCACATCATAAGTTCAGACAAAGATTCTCTGTGTTTATGGAAATGCAAATAGAGCCACAAATTTGGAACTTTTCTTCACAGAGAATTTGCTGTGCACCAGAATCTAAATGTGTTTCTTATTTTTAAAAGATATTTTCAGCTAGCTCAGTTAGTTTCAAAGGCTCTTTTAAAGCTTCAAAGTTAAAAGGGATTAAGAAACCAGCAGCAGGGAAAACGTGAACACCGGCGTTCGCAGAAACAGCAGGTCCAACTCTGCCGATCAGAGGCCCCATTTTCCCAGGCAGAAGACCGCAGGTCCAGAGCCCCAGGGCCCTGAAAGCCTGACCTTGGCTTTCCTCCTGTACCTGCAGCCACAGGGCAAGTCCTCCTCCAGGAAGAGATGCTCGTTATCATCAAGCATCTGACTCATTTGTGCTGAGCGTGTTTAGGAGTGACTAATGGGATAGCCGTAGGGGCCAAGATACGTTTAGTAAATCAGATAATGCAGGACTAATGGTTTCCTGAATCCACACAGAGAAATGTGAGCAACTACTTGGACATTCGATTGTGGGGTAGGCACAAAGGTACAAATCACTGTCTCGATGATGTCGAACATTATTTTAACTCCTACAGAGTCCTGCAGTGGACCAGAGAGAACCCGGAGGTGGTAATGGAGCCCACTCTCCTACAGAATGCGGAAGCTGGAAGTCCCTTCCAAGGCCGACAGGTGCCTGTCCAGCCATGACCTAAGCCCCACCCTGGGATGGAGCCCGTGACCTCTGAGGCCACACACACTGCACAGAGACAATCTCCATTTCCTTTACCCAAATGCATGTGGTGGCTTTACCAACTACAGAAGTTACTACTACAAGAAGCCCCGGCTGGGTGAGCTGTGTAAAAAGACAGTAAACAGATGCAAGGAAGAGAGACATGCCTTTTAGTACTGATATTTAGGTTGAACCATAGAAATTACCAATATCTGACCATTTCTGACCCACAAAGTGGTGATTTCAACTTAAAGGTTATTTATATAACATTAAATAAGAACAAGCAAACGTCACTTTATTTCAGATGAAGACTTGCTAGTGGTAAACTAAAAGAGTAAATGGACAAAGAAAATGTCCATAATCGGAAGTATTTGTTGAGAAAGAAAATATGAAACAATCAACCTTTTAACATTTTCCTGCAAATTCATCCTGGCTTATTAAATACCAGTATTCATGAAAATCAGAAGTAAATTTCTCTTTCTGCATCATAGTTGCAACTATTACTTCCATTAATTCTGCTCAGAGAAATATTTACTGAGCATCTATTCCGTGCCAAGCGTAGGAATAAGTGGTAGACATGGAATGACAGATTAAAAAATTATCTCTGATTTTCTCATGCAGGATAGAGGCACATGAGCAATTAATATACACTGATGACACTGTGACTCACAGACAAACACAGAGACCGTGAGGGAGCCCAGGGGAGGGACACATCCTGGGGGGGGACAGGGGACAGGGATCCAAGAAGGTCCACTGCAGGGTGCAAGGGTGGATATGAGTTTTAACAAATGGGTGAGAATTTGTGAGAAGACAGAAGTCATGCAGGGGATAGAGAACATTCCAGGGACAGGAAAAAGCACGAACAAAGACGGGAATGCAAAGAACCACATAAATCAGCACAAGGTGTTAGCAGCGAACAGCTGGAAATAAGGCGGAGGAGCTAGGCAGAGGTCAGGTCTTGGGAGCCTTCGTTTTAAGGGTCCTGGACTTTGTCTGTGAATGATGGGATCCTTCGTAGCGCCCGCCACCCCGCCCTTCAGTGACACAGCCATTCGTCTTGGGTGAAAGAGCATGTTCTAAAGGCACTCTTTTTTTAGTAGCCAACATGTATGATGTTAACAACAGTACCAAGACCATCGCAGTCACCATGGTTTTTGAAAAAAGTCTTCCCTCGCTAGATAAAAAATATACTTTTCTTTCTTTTTAGACTATTGTAGTACTTACTCTCATACTTCTAGTAAGTACCCTTATGGGTTCTTACTAGACCATGGTACTGCTTCGCGCATCGAGTGACTCAAGGCCCCTACTGTCATGAACCTGATGCTTACACAGG